TAAATTTGAAAAGTTTTCAAAAAAATTAATGATTCACACTTGTTTCTTGCAAACTTTTGCAAATATAGCACTTTAGGAATGACGTTTGAAGTTTTAGAGTCATTTAGGGGGTGAAAGAAGGCTTATTTAAAGGAAAAAAAGCTTACTTTTCACCTTTATTTTTTTCCAATTTTTGACCGTATCTTTTTCGTTGATACACTACCGATACACCCCTGATATGCCCCCGGTATGGTCTGATATGCATGAAAAAAAGACGAAACGTCTTATTTCCATGTGTATCCCGTATCTATTTTTTAAAGATACGATACGTATGGGGCATATCGTACCGAAATTTTAAACCTTGGTTATGATGGTCAAATATTGGTTGTTTCCCTTGTATTCTTATTTATTTCATGAGAAGTAGAATAATGACAACGGGAGTCAAATATGCATTTTCTATATGAATCTATTAAATACTAACATTTTTCTATCAATGGTTTGTTATCATTAAAAAATGAGGAGATTATTAACTCTATGTGTTTTAATGATAACAAACTCACCAAGAGCACTAATGATTTGAGATATAAGTTTATGGTTATACTAAATAATTCCCTCTGATGGACTGAAGCCTATCCAAGGAAAGAACGATTACTCTCATGAACAAGAAGAAGAAGATATCGAGTTCTAGAGTCTTCAAGTTATCTTATCTATTAAGGCTTGATGTAATTAGTTTGCGAGAAGCACTACAATGGGCTTAATTTAAACCTAGCTCTTTCCTACCAAAACCATAGAGACCAATGGTTAAGTTAGAAAATATTCATAGGTTTTCTTGGACTCAATACTAGACTTAACTTAAAAATTCAAAGTGTGGAAGCATAAGGAGTCGATTTTCAAACCTTAGGAATTGTCTACTGAAGTGGTTTAAGAATGGGTTACAGTCCATAGTTGACTACCTAATAAACAATAGTTAACTATCTAACTATCTGTGACAACTAAAACTCGTAATACCTAGTAGCCAACTACCTGAAAGGTAGTAGTTGACTAGTCGTGATAGCTAAGCCTGGTGTAACACTAGTATCATCGTAATACCTAGTAGTCAACTACACGAAAGGTAGTATCGTAATACCCAGTAGTTGGCTACCAAAATGTAATAGTTGATTACCAGAGAAAAAGATGTACCTCCATGCATCATATTGGACTACTGGCCCTGATTGTTGATTGCATGTGTTAGCACACGAGTGAGTTTATAACATTCGTGTCAGCACACGAGTCAACACAAATATGAGAGTTGTTCACATAGAGAAGGCCTTCATTTCCTTTCCTAAGCATTGTAGAACTATTGAATCATCATCCAATAGTGAGTTTAACACACTACTGTCACTATTGAGTTCTGTTTAAGTCTCACATTGCTTAAGGAATGAAGGACTTACCTTCATCAATAAGAAGGATAGGCAAGCCCAACCAAGCCAAGATTAGGAATTAAATGAGGCCCATGTTTTATTTTATTTTTTGTGCTATAGGTTCAAAGCCTATCCAAGCCCAACCTAATTTGGGCTTGAGTAATATTTTTGTACCTGTATTATATATTATTTGTTTAAAGTTATATAGATTATTAAGTTTTTATAATTATATGCCATAGGCCCAAAATTAAGTCTGACTTGACCTAGGCCTTATACCTGGGCCTGGGATTAGGCTATAACCCCTTATAATAGGTGCTACGTTTGTCCGGACAAGTAGAAGTATTTGATGCGAAATAAACTCCTTCAAGGCTTTTTTGGTAGGATTTCAGGACATGGATGAAATTATTTATAGATATTTCTTATGTATCTCCTGAAAATTGTAATGCAGTGGAATATGCAAAAATTTGCAGCCCAAGTGAGAATGAAGTTCAAAAACTCAATATGGTCAAACTACTTGAGGCTGAATTTTTCACGTAGGGAAGAAACAATTCTCTTTAAGGGATCAAACATGGGACTTGGACCATAGCATAGCAGACCCAAAAGTAAATTAAATCATAGCTTAAAGCTGATGGAAATGTCACCACAAATGCATCAACTTGCTATGCTAGTTCATGCTCAAGACTCCATGTTTCCCACACTTGCAACAATGGATTGAAGATGGTGCAATCACTATTTCACACTAAGTTTTTTTTCCCTTGAATACAACAATTATTTGCCACTGGAAGAACATTCTTTTGAATATCTTTAATCCACTAAAGTGGGTTGCAAAAGCTGGTCTTGGACTGGTTTCAACACATTGATTAGATGGCACCCAAAACCCTAGAACAATTCTAGTTTCTTGTCTCCTAGATGGCTAAATTATGAGAGCAATTGAGAGCAACATGTAGAGATCTAATGTTGGATGACCTTAAGGCTAGGAATGGCTACTCTACACGGTGGGCTTTTTTTTTTTTTTTTTCTTGAAGGACAAGTTTTGGGGCAGGGACAGGTTTTGGGATTCTACAACCCATACGGGCATGGGTAGGGTATCATATTAGGCTAATAATATAATTTTATGTATTAGGTATTGAATTTAATAATATTTTGAATTTTATGTGAAGGATAATTGATAGTTTGTGTTTTTTACGCATAATTGAAAATTTTGTTGTTTGTTTGTGTTGTTTTACTTAGATGCAGGTTCTAAACCCAACCCGCCCCACCCTTGAATGCAGGTAGGGTAGGGTTGGAGAGGGTTTTGAATTTTCATGTGCGAGGAGGGTGTGGATTCTCAAAATCCAACCCGCTACAGGTTTTGGGGCAGATACCCATAGGTTGGGAGGTTTAGGGAGGCGGGTAAGGTCTAAAATTTATGAAACCCTCCCCAAACCCGCCCCATTGCCATCCCTACTTTAGGCTATTAAGGCCTAAAATCTCCTACTCAAATTGCTCTATAACATCCTAATCCAATTAGGAAATGAGATTTAGTTAAATTCTTTCTAATTTATCCACATTTTTTACTAATCAAACTAGTAAATGTCCTAATCACATTAGAACAATTTCTAAATTTGAGTGCACCAATTCTAATTACCACTTTCTAAATCTTTAAAGAGTGTAAGAGAGTGAATCTTGTATGGCATGGGACCCACAAGCATCCAATTTGAGCCAACATAGAATTCCTCCTTTCTTAAAGGGAAGGTGTACAGGACCCACCTAGGCTGAATTATTTCCCAACTATTAAGGAGAAACCACCCTAGCTAGTTGGCTCTCTAATTAGTCTCATTAATGTCTAATACATTAAGCTTAAATTCATCCACCCTAAGTACTCAAGCTCATTAGTCCAAACTGAAATGTGTCCATTAAGTTTTGGACCTAATAGCAACACTTGCATCATAGTCTCTTTACCTTAATATCCAACACTGGTAATGGGTAAGGACTTATTTCCCTCATTCTAAAACTCCAATTTCACAATCTTTACCATGACGGGATCTGAGAAAAATGTTTTTCAAACATATTTTCAAAATAAGCTACTTATTTATATAATTGATTTAAAAAGCACTTGAAATCCATTACCGATAGTTTTTTGTTTCCATTGGAGAGAGTAATTTTATAGATATTCTCTTTGTTCGACAAAGTGGCAGATCCTACCATAATAATGATCACTTGCCCAAATTTCAATTTTATCTACTCCAATATACATTGGTATTTACTCTTAAAAGATCTTATTAGTTGGCATATTAAAAGTAGATAAGTTAATTTGATACTCGACAAAATACCATTATCAAGTCTAGAGACTATATGCAACAATATAATTGCTCCACCAATCTAAAAGTCCAAAAGCACAATGGAAATGGTTCAATTCAGTGTTTCATAAACACACATACTTATATTGGGTCTAACCCTTGCAATTGAAATACACTACTCTATTCCTTATGTAGTACAAGTATGTCAACCTTATCAGGATTAACCACCTAGGTTTATCCATTGGTTGGGAACATTTAGTTTGTATACCGATAATGCAAACCTCATAAAATTATCCTAAAATAAAAATCAAGGGTATTACATAGAGGCACTAAGGCCCCATTTGGTTCATAGGAATAGGGGTCTGGAATTGGAATGGGGTAATTCCAATTCCAAGTATTCGGTTAGGTAGAATTGGAACCGCATTTCCATTCCTGCTGGAATGGCATTCTCCCATTTGAGGGGGTGGCCATACCCTACCCCTCTCTTGGGAATGAAATTCCATTCCTGCTGATTCCAATTCCCATTTCCATTCCTTTTTGAATCAAACAGAGTATGGGAATAGACCACTCGGATTCCAATTCCGATTCTAACTGCAAACCAAATGGATCCTAAATTGGCACATGCAAGTGTACTAGAAACTAAAACTTTATTCGTAATAAAGTAGTTGTTTATCTATTGGTTGAGAACATTTAATTTGTATACTAATTATACAAAGCTCATAATATTATCCGAAAATACAAATCAAGGGTATTACATAGAGGCACTAAATTGACACATGCAATTGTACTAAAAACTAAAACTTAACTCATAATAAAGCAATTTACGATCCATATGAGATACAAAGGGCATACAGTATCTAAAATACAAATCAAGGGTATTACATAGATACACTAAGGTCACATTTGGCTTGCAAGAATAGGGGTCTGGAATCGAAATCGGAATGGGCTATTCTGGTTCTAACTATTTGGTTAGGCAGATTGAAATCCCATTCCCATTCTTGCTGGAATGACATTTCCCCATTCGAGGGGATGATCATTCCTTGCCCCTCTCTTGGGAATGAAATCTCATTCCTACTGATTCCAATTCTCCCATTCCTTTCTGAACCAAACAGACTATGCGAATAGATCATTCCAGTTCCAATTCCAATTCTGACTGCGAACCAAACAGATCCTAAATTGACACATGCAATTGTACTAGAAACTAAAACTTTATTTATAATAAAGCAGTTGTTTATCCATTGGTTGAGAACATTTAGTTTATATACTAATTATACAAACCTCATAATATTATCCTAAAATACAAATCAAGATATTACAAAGAGGCACTAATTCGACACATGCAATTGTACTAAAAACTAAAACTTAACTCATAATAAAGCAGTTTACAATCCGTAATAGACCCTGGGGGCATATAAAATCTCCATCATGGTTGTAACACTCTGCTAAGTTGAATTTCTCTATTGCCCTCAGCATTAGGTTGAATTTCTCTATTTCCCTGAGCATTAGGTTCAATTTCTCTATTTCCCTCAACCTTTGGTGAAGCATATAAGTTTGAGCAAAAATATGAAAACATGGCTAAGCCGGAAGCTGCTGCCATGGTGATGAAGATGGCGCGAAAGTCATTAATGTCTAATGCGTTTGATGTAATATTGTTAGAAGGGTTAAGACATGTTTCATGCCCAAAATATTTATTCTCGATATCATCCATCTGTTTTCCTTCCCTAATTCTCAAAATTTCACCAGACAAATTAGATAGCAAAGGAGAGTTTTGGGGAAATGCCTGCAAGAAAGAGAGAGTTTTAGTAATTAAGCAAAATACATTGAAGACACTTCAAATACAAGGAAGCGGTGCATAGCACCTTCAATGGGTCCATACAACAATAAAATAATGTGTTTAGTTTCCACCTTAAATGAGGAAAAGTGCTTTTTACCTAGAACGGAAAATAAGTAGACAAATCCATCAAGAAGACAAGAAAAATCATGTAAAGAGTTTCATCCTTAATTTAGTTTGTCAGTCATACAACCATAAGATCATCTCAGCCATCAAATCGACAATGATTCAGTCTGAGAACGATCCTTTACTGCTGAGGAGACCCAGATCATGGGATCAGATTCTGATCTCACGGTCCTAATACATCCATCAAATCTAGGTTTCCTGTCTCCTTACATCTCAAGGATATAGAGGCACGAGCCTATAGAACAGATCCTGCTCAATTTCATCCTTAATTGAGAATCAAAATGTATTATTTTATCCAGATTAGAAAATAAGTAAATATATACACCAAGATCTTTGTGAAAATATATACCTGAGAAAGAAGTTGAAATATTAATATTTTTGTTTACATGATTTCGTACAAGGTATTTAAGTTATACATGTATCCACACACCATTACCAAGCCATAAAGTGCTTGAGAGTTAACTTGATCCAAAGTACAAAGCTTTTCCATATCATGTCTTTCCAGTACTGAGGTACCCTATAAGTTGTATAGTTGAAAGAAGAGAGAAGGGTTTACATGAAAATGAAGAACAAGTGTGCAAAAATAGAGACATTTTTAGAAAATGTACTCAATTAAAATTTGTCAATCATGTTTGCATATACTACAAATCATCCTCTCCAAATTAGTAATGGTCTAGGATGAATTAAATTAGATCTTATCTTCATAGGATATTTCTTTCAACTTTTTAGTGAGAAACCTATTTAAATTTAAATATACAGTATTATAGTTAATGAGCATTAATGAAGTTAACTGAATTAAAATTTCAAATTTAAAAAATGATAACAATAATAAGATATGTCTAATGATAAGCAGGGTCAGGACAGGTTTAATAGGTTTGGGTCAGGATGGGTTTGGGAAATTGGGAGAAAAGGTTAAATGGGTTTGGAATCAAGGGTATCTAAATGGGTTTGGGTATGGGAAGGGCAGTTTTCGTAGATGCCAACCTGTTGCATCCCTAAGAGCACCTATAAGCTATTCATGATAGTTTTTATTATTTTTTTTGACACTAAGGGCAAAGTTTTATTTATACTACTCAGTGAGTACAATCAGCAAGAGGAATGGAGGAGACTCCAACCAAGCACAAGGCCTAGAAAGATTAACTGCATATTTAGCAAGGCAGTGACCAACTTTGTTATAGCACCTAGTTGCAAACTTCACTGAGTAGTTTGAGAACTTAGAATCTCTTCAAAAGAGAGCTTATCAATACTTTGCACCTCCCTCAATGATAAAGTGGTCTAGATTCAAACTGACAGCCAACTTTAAATCCTCCAATAGAGCTAGAGCTTCACACTCGGGGGAGAACAAGTGGGAAAGCTTGATAGCCAGGGCCCGAGTGTGAAGCTTGATAGCCAGGGCTGTGCAATAAGGTCTCCAAACTAATCTCTTGTGGTGTAGATAGAGCTCTGTGAAAGTTTGTATTTAGCCAACCAATTGGCGGTTTAAACCAAGGTCTCTCTTGACTTCCAGCAGAGGGAGGATAAGGAGCTCTGTTGGACTCCATAGGAAGAAGGGTCTGTAACTCTGAAAAGAAACAACAATGGGGTTCACTATAGTATATGGATCAAAAGGAACTCTTTCCATCACCCACTTACATCTTGCCTTCCAGATATTCCAAATGATAATTGCCCCCTTTCTACCATAGAAAGTTGTGACCCATCCTTAGGATTATCCATGGAGTACTAGTATGATAACCAATCTTTGAGGGACCAATCTGAGTGGACTGTGGACATCCGTCTTGAACCCTACTGGTGAGGTGAACCAGATAATTTGTATGACTGGGCATTGAAACAGAATATGAGTAATAGTTTCTTCAACACAATGACAAAGCTCGCAAGTAAGATCATTCGGGCTTGCCATATATCCAGCACTGACTTCATTGGAACACAGTTCATTATACATTTCTAAAGGAACAAATGGGCACTCGGGGGAATGTTTCTAAAACTCCAAAAGGAATGCCAAGAAATTTCAGCACATGCCATGTTGCTGTTGGAGCTTTGAGGGCAATTTGAATCAATCAATTTACATGCTAAGGAGAGGGTGAACATACCATGGGGAGGGGGGACTTGGGGGTGAGCTTCCAAATTAGTCAATCAGGTTGTATGCTACTATGGATAGGGAAAGGAGCACGAATAATTGCAGTGGCTGCTTCAGGTGGTAAGGAATTCACAATAATATCCTACTTCCAGAGAAATGAGTCATGATCAATCGAACCTGCTACCTTACCTATATAATGAACTTTGGCCTTCTTCAAATTATTATGACTCTAGCATTCTAACCAAGGATCTTCTAGGGCATTAATACCCCAACCAGATCCCACCACCCAATGAATACCCTATTTGATTAGGTCCCTCCAAGAGAGAATAACTGCTCAGGTTCCCGAGATGCCTCTATTAGTTAAAATTCCAGAAGATTGCCCATGCTTGATGCATTTAGCTATAAAAACTCAGTTCTAGTGCTGATTCGAATAAAGGTAGTGCCAGGTAAGTTTCATAAGGAGTGCTATATTAAGTGTATATCCTTGAAGCCAACACCCCCCCTGATTTTTGGGTTTAGCTGTCGACTCCCAACCCTTCAAGTAGATATTCCTCCCATTCTCCTTAAAGTCCCATCAGGAGTCTCTTAAGAGAAAATTAATTTGGTCTGCACATTTTTGTTTAACAAGAGAAGTGGACAGTGTATATAGAGGAATAGTCAAGAAACATTTGATTAGTATTCTCCAACCTGTTTGTGAAAGAAGTTTGGACTTCCAATCATTAACTCTCTAAGAGATTTTGGAAATAACATCTTTCCATGTGTCTCTGATGTATTTCTTGTCATCAAAGTAAGCACCCAAATACTTCTCCTTACAAGCCAATACTATAACACCCACGAACGAGGAGAGCTGCCTGTGGATCCTGTGGTGGACAATGAAGCTGAACATGATAGATGGTTTTGTTGAAAAGTAAGAGTGGTAATTTTAACGTTTGTCTTTTATATTAGTAGGTAACCTGGGATTTGTGAGCTGAATGTTCTAGACTTGCAAAAGTAAAACTCCTTTTTGTATCTTGTAATCTGAAACTTTTTGTTAGAGAGAACAAGAAGTCAAAAACAGAGTAAACCCAAAATCGTAAGTTGGCTTTCCATCTCTTCATTCTATTTTCAAATTTTCCTGTACAGATTTTTATCTTTCCTTCGATTTTTTACCACTACACTTCCGTTGCTCCAACAAACTTTTGGTATCAGAGCTGAAGATCCATCCAACCATTCATATCTAAAACTAAAACCCCTCATCAAGTTCCAACAGCTTTGTTCAGATAATTTTCAAAAATTTCCACTTCCTATTTTTGATGAAGAAAACTATTATTATTGGAGCATACAAATGAAAACATTTTTCATCTTCAAAGAGATTCAGGAGTTAGCAAAAGAAGGATATGAAGAGCTAAAAAACCATGAACAACTTGCAACATAGACTGAAAACAATAAGGAGTGCAAAGAAAATAGGAAGGATGATGCTAAAGCCCTGTACCATATTCAACAAATAGTAAGTAAAATAATATTTCGAAGAGTCATGGCTGCCAAAAGCTCAAAGGAAGCATGGGATATTTTCAAAAAGGAATTCTAAGGCACCGAAAAGGTAATATCCATAAAATTTCAAACCCTTTGGAGAGATTTTTTATAACATTATGGTGAAAGAAAGTGAATCTGTTCAAGAGTTTTTTTTTTTTTTTTTTTTTTCTAGAGTTGCTTGTGTTGTAAATCAAATCAGAACATATAGAGTTGTTATCTCAGATGAAAAAATTGTAAAAAAGGCTTTGATGAGTTTACCGGTTAAATTTGATCATGTAGTGGCTGTCATTGAAGAAGCTAAAGATTTGACTAAACTATCCATGCATGAGTTAATGAACTCACTTGAAACTCATGAGGATAGAATGAAAAAAATTTCAACTTCTTCATTGGAGCAAGCTTTTTAGTCCAAACTCACAATTGCAAGAAAGAAAAGGAATGATGGTGAAAAAGGAACTTCAAAAGAAGGGTCATATCAAGGTAGAGGAAGAGGATACCAAAACAATGGAAGAGGAGGCAGAAGAGAGAGATAATATGGAAGAGGAAGAAGTGAAAAGCAAAATAATGATTGTTATTTGCAAGGACAACCATTTGCCCTAGGATTGTTATTTCAAATGTAAAAAATGCAAAAATCATGTTTATGCCCCAAAAGGTTGCAAATTTAAGGAGAAAGAACAAGCCCACTATACTGAAAGGATGATTCAGAAAATCACCTATTTTACTCTTGCATGAATACCCAACAAGAGTCAAAAGGAGTCTGGTATTTGGATAGTGGTTGTAGTAACCACATGACAGGAAATAAAGAATGTTTTCTTTAGTTGAATGGACATGTTAATTCTCAAGTGAAGCTTAGAGATTGAAAACTCGAAAGTATTGAAGGAAAAGGTGTTGTTGCAGTCTAGACTAAGCAAGGTAATTCTAAAACCATTTTTGATGTTCTATTTGTTCTTGGTTTGACTCAAAATTTTCTTGGTATTGGAGAGCTTATACAAAAAGGTTATGAGGTGCGCTTTGGAAATGATGAATGTGTAATAGCTAATAAGAAGAAAGGTCAAATCATTGCTAGAGTAAAAATGGTAGCAAATAAAGTGTTTCCATTAACCATGTCCTATAATGTGAATTACGGGCTAAAAAGTGAGAGGATGAATGAATCCATATTATGGCACCTAAGATAATGGGCACTTGAATTTCAAAAGTCTTTCATTGTTAAATAACAAGAATATGGTGATTGTACTTTCAC